GTATCTCAATGGTTGTACACAGCTTTAGGAGATTTTTTTCTTCTGAGGTAATTTGCTTGTTAGCATTCATGCTTTTCGTTGATCCATTTCACTCATTCGTTCCTTCATTGATGCATTCAGTCATTATTTTAGTATTTAATTTATTTATTTATTCATTGACGTGTTTGGCGTCTGAATGTTAGTTCAGCCCAATACGGTGACGCTGGTTTCCATCCATGCGCTTCATATGATATAGTACCGTGCAGCCAAGGCCTGCTAAAAGGGTCTGTTAGTTATCTAGGACCAACTAACTTACATCAAGCTGCTCAGCGGACTACATCGCATCAGTATCGATCGATGAGTGCGCCAAGGAGATACAATCTCACCAATGCTCTTCGTCGATACCTTGGAATCACTCTTCAACCGGCTTAACTGATGCAGCGGTATCGATATTAGTGGCGAGCAGCGAACGCATTTATTATTTGATCATTTTCAATTTATCATTCGTCATCATTTGCAAGACACGATGAATGTTCAACGGCAGGTCCAGCAGTTGTTAAAAGAATCACTCACTACTGAATTAGAGGTTAACCTCACGAAGCCGAAATACCGTTGCGAACTGAGTTCTGCTCCGAGCGCTGTATCTACTTGAATAGTGAAGAACTCGTACAAGTCATCACCTGTGCATACTTTGGCCGTCAGGAGAACCGGATAAACTCTCTAGATCGAGAAATCAGCCGAAAAAGGAAGGCGGCGTTGGCAAGCATTAGTCGTGTAAAAATATCGTTAAAACATCGTTACTCAACAATGAGCTGCCCATGCAGGTGAAGAAACAGTTGTTCGATTCAACCTTTCTACCCGCCATGATCTACGGCATTGAATGTTCGTCTTCTGCTAAAGCTGAGGAGAAAAAATTTATGATTACGCTAAGAGCGATAGAGCGAAACTGCACGTTGTCTGCCCTCCTCCCGAGATCATGTTCCGCTCCGCCAAAGTCGAATCTGTCGACTAAGAACATGCTGGAATGACCCAGTGGTCAAATTATTTGGTCAGCGGTGCAGACACAAAGGGACAGTATAAAATATTGGAGGAGAGTGGAATTCTTTTCATTGAGCACATATACCGAGTCGAATGGCGGATATGACAAAGGCAGCACATTGTCTCCTGTTTTCTTCCAATGAAGCAGTGTTTATTTATTTCGCAAAGAATAATAATAGAGGGTCAGTAATATGGCCTTTGTTAAAACCCACTGCTTTTTTACTGCGACTGTTTTGTAGCAACACATCTACCTCGTAACCTTAAACATAACTTAACGAAAATTTTTGCTATGCATACTTATCCCGCACCAGGTTACTGCCTGTTTTCTAGTCGTAAGCTGTTCGTACACCCGAATATGACAAACAACGAATAACGTTTTCAAAACCAAATTTCACGGCATATTGCACGGTCCCCTTGCTCATACTGGTGCTCAAATATCAGTGAACTGTGATGTGCT